ATGCCTTGCTAACTCTTATCAGAGCTTTTATACTACAGTGGATGTGCTAACCCATGAAATGTTAACTGAAACTCTGAAACACTTTTCGAGCCGAAAGATTATTTAAGTAGGGTGTTAATACTAATACCCGTGCAGCATGATCTCATAATAATTTGGTTACTTCAAAATGCCGGTCTTCGAACGAACTTCTTCCCGGTTGCCTGTGAAAACTGCACTCGGTAAATATGATTACTTAAGCAGCGTGAAATGTTCTCATTGATTTCTAATGCCCTTACAGATTCAAATATATTTTACAAAACCAGGCATAAAAATTTTGATTCTTTTACTCATCTGGTAGAAAATTACGTCTTCTTAAAATTTTATGCTTGAAGGAAGGGTATAATTTGGTTTTAAAAAGTTTCTAATTATGAGGTGAAATGCCCGCTCATAAAGCATCGTGTTTCAGCATTTACTAATGTTGCATGTAAATTTACAATATCCTCAAGTCCACGGATAAATTTTATGAACCCGTATATGGTCGCCTCTTAGTAATGTAGAGAAATATATGATTTTCCGTACACGGACAATATGAAGCCTGTTTTTTGAAACCCTGAATTCAGGTGTAACGTCATGTCGGTTTCAAAATTATTCGGGAATTGGAAAAGTCTTTCAAAACCGAATTATACCCTTCCTTCAAGCATAAAATTTGAAGAAGACGCGATTTTCTATAAAATGAGTGCAACAATGAATACTGTTATATATGTTTTCCATTAAATATGTTTGAATTCATGGGGGCATCAAAAATCAATGAGGAAACTTCATGCCACCTAAGTAGCCATTTTTTGACGAGCGCTACCTTCACAGGCAACCGAAAAGGAGTTCGTTCGAAAGCTGACCTCCCGAAGTAACTGAATTATTATGGGGTTATGCTGCACGGTTATTAGTATTACAGCCCTACTCAAGTATTCCTTTTGAGTCGAAAACGCATTTTAGAGTTTCGATTAACATTTCATGAGCCCGGCGGGACCAGGTTGCGTGTGGCGCGCGTAGAGAAGCCGTTGAATCCTGTCAGCCATTGCACCCAATCCCATCACCAGCTGGGTGACAGGCTCAGACGGTAAACCGGTGCATGGAAGAGGACAGAGGGGGAGAGTGAGGTTGTCTCTGCGAACTCCAGCGCTGCGGTACTTCAGCGCATTTACTCACAGCAAACAATCTGACGCGCCGGAATTTATCGCGATGCACCAAAAGTCACGGCATGAAGGGTTGCCAACCAGCAGGATAACTCGGTCCCCCTTTCAGGACCCGAGCCAACTCGTCTTTTGTGAAAACCAGTTCCATTATACGGGATCGGATCGTGCATGGCACGCCCAGACAAGATGTTGGGCCTTGTCTGCCATTGCACCCAAGCCCGCCTCCAGCCGTCCTAAGTATGTCTACCGGACCCAGATGGGGGAGGAGAACGGAGTGCGCCAAGTTCGGCACAAGTCCGCCATTATTGCAAACTAATTCACGCGCAAGTCGCCGTCCTACGCCCCCCTCCATGCTGTGGGGCACACGGTTGACGGCGTCACATGCCACGGTCGAACTGTCGCATGCATTGGGCCATTATACTTCGACCGTCGTTTCCGGCAATGTTCGCCGTGTGCTCCACAGCAGGGTGGGAGCAGGGACGTAGCCTCGCGACTGAGGCCGTTTGTAGTGGTAGTGGACTTGGGCAGCATCTACCGCACTCTGCTCTCCTTCCCCAACTGGGCCCGGTTTCATGACAGAGTAAAGAAGACCGGAGATGAGGGAGAGGACGCAGATGGCTGGCACGGCGAAAACCCGCCAACACACTGAATGGGAGTGCCACGGGGGCCACATTAGGAAGGAGCCATCGCAGCATGACTTTAAGTCCGCCACGCCACACAAGCACATACTGGGCTGACTGCGAGATCAAAGTTAGTCTGTCGGTTGGCCGTCTTCTAAGCCAGAGCTTTTAGTACACCGTGCTAGTTTCAAGCGGTCAGACTGTTTATAGTGAGGAATATGCACTCCCACTGCCCCAGACACCAGTCCTAGCCGACCAGTTGTCTGACGCGGGGAGTGGCTGACAGAGCTAGGGAGCCCGTCTGCGCCCGTTGCATGCGTGACTTGGTCCCCAAAACGCACGCACAAGGGGAAGCGGTCCGGATCTCACACATGTGTGAGAGTGAGCCATTAAGAAGGAGCCGTCTCAGTTTGATTCTCAGTCCGCCAGCTGGTTACTCAACAGAAGCACACAACTGGGCTGACTGCGTGGTCTGAGTTGAAGCGTCAGTCGGCAACCTTCCATGCCACGGCTTTTAGCGTACCGCCATAACTTCAAGCACGTCAGATTGTTTATAGTGAGAAATTATGCGCCGAGAGTCGACCTCTCTAACCTATCTCGCACCGATCAACCAACTGGTGCTGGGGCTGGGAGAGGTAGCTGACAGCTGAAAAAAGATCGTCTGCGCGTGCCACACACACGATCTTGTACTCTCCACGCGCACACACCGGGATTTCACACACAAGGGGTGAATGGCTTGGTTTGTGTGTTAATGGAGGGACGTATGTGGATGTGGTCATGTCTGCGGTGAATTGCCGCGGGTTTTCAAGAATGCGCATGTGAACGAATAGGCCCATGTGATGGGTGAATGTGCGCGGGCAGTGCCGGCAGTTGGTGCGATGTTGTCTGGTGTATGTTGATGCTCCAGACGCTGGCTCGCTAGTCTCCGTGTGATGGATTTGCCAGTGGCCGATCAGGCCAATCCGTGAGGCGGACGTGCGGTGACAGTGTGAGCAGGATGGGTTGGGAGATGTTGGGTCGGTTGTCATTGTCATTGTGCTGCTAGTGGTGGGCGCGCTGGTCGATGGGAAGTTGGGAGAGTTGGTGGACGTGCAAAGTATGCTAGGTGAATCCTGCTGTTACGTATGCGCGTGTGGCCGAACAGGTCGATACGTGAGGTGAGTATGTGATCGCGATAAGGACCGAGTCCGCATCGTCGGAGTTGGGGATAATGATGATAAGGGTGGTGGTTGATGGGATCGGGGATTGGGAGAGGTGGCTGTCGTCGTCGCCGCCGCCGCAGAAGTTGCGGCAGGGATGATGGAGATGGCGGTGATCAACTGCAACCGGGAACTGGAATTGTAATCATCGGTGGTGAGGGAGGTTGCCGTTGTGGGCGCTGTGGGGATTGGAGCAGTTGCAATTGGGAAACAGGAGTTAGGGCTGTTGGTGCATTGGGTCTGGTGATGTTCGAAGAGGCCGATGCGCGCTCGCGTTGCTCGTTGGCAGCGCGGGCATATTGGGAGGAGTTGGATGTTGACTTCTCGGGTCAGGTCGCCCGATACCTGCGAACCTTTCTTTTAACCTTGGCAGCGCCGACCCGGTAGACTTCATAGATTGCTGCTCCTCTCCAGGCCGGTCAGTCCTCTGCCAGGTCCTCCCAAATCTTCGGGTCGATTTGTAATCGCTTCATGGTGTCTTTGTATCGGCGAGTTTGACCTCTTTGTCGGAGAGCACCTCCAGCGACGTGTATTCGTCTTCAAATTAAACAGGAGTTTTTCCTTTAGTGAGTCCGGCACAGGTGGTTGGGAAGGTTCTCAACTGAAAATCGACATGCCATTGTGCGTAAGCCAGCCAAAAAAGACAAGTTTTTTGGACAGTCATTAAAAAGCCGTGAATGTGAGCCTGTGATAGCCCTAGTAGATACAAGGTTTCCCCGCCGGCAGATGAGCTTACGCTCCCGCTGGGTATATAGGTGGTGGGCATGGCTGCCCAGTCATCCTCGTCCTTCTGACCCCTTTTGGGGTGTTGTTGGTGATGATAAATCCGGGTCAAGTATATGGTGTGGTGGAACGCCTAGGTGCGGATCCGGCCGCGCCAACCACTTGCACCTTCCCCCGCCGTCGGTATTCTTGACTCTGTCTTGACGCCGGGTCCAGGTGTGGAGGAGGGAGGAGAGTGTGGTAGGTGCTGCACAAGTCTACCATCCCTATAAATTAATTCACGCGCAAGTCACCATGCCTGCTGAACCTATCTGTGTGTTTACGGTGGACATCGTCGGAATGGACGGTCTGACTGTTCGGTATAAGGTAATTATTTAAAAAACACTCGCTGTTCAAAGTGAAAAACGATGACCAAATTATTCGCGTAAACTTTCCAAAGGCAAGGGTCAACGTGAAGTTACGCAGCTGAGGCAGCATATGATTTACTGTGAAGACTGGAGTCACGTCTAGGAGGTTACGGTCTGTTTTGACCATTTTTCATTTCATTGTACGCGAACTGCGCATCTTCACGCATCTTAATTACGCTGGGCCTTGTTCGTTCTTCATGTAGACTCCGATGGTGAAAGGGAGGTCATTGTTTACGTGAATAGTCTTTTCTACTTGTTTGCATATTCATCGTCAATTATGACTGTCTGTAAATAGGTATCTTCTAAATCGCCGTTAGGCACTTTGATAGTGAAGTCGTCTTTTTATTTTTTTATTTAGAAATCATCACACATGGAGATTGTCTGTTTTTGTATTGATTTGTTGAAAGACAAAACAGATTTCTTACTGTCCTCCCGAAAATCACTGTTTTACAGCAAGTGCGCTGTAGAATACCTTATAGACCTGGACAGATTGAAATTATGACTCCGGTTCATTGTGAAAAGACACCGGTTGTAAGGTGACTTCGCGTGACAAAACCACACCGACTCACCGGTTATCCAATAGGAACGTTGATAATCACACAGGGAATCATTTCGTCCCACAAATACACAGTCAGCGACCGATCTCATGAAATGTTAGCCAAACTTCTGAAATGCGTTTCCGCTTGGGAAGAATTACTTCGGTGGGGTTGTAACATTGATTATTGTGTAGCATAATCCCATGGTATTTCAGACACGCCAGGATTCTGGCGTTTGATTGCGCATCCTTTTGGTCGTCCACAAAAACTGCACTCGGTATAAAATGTCTGCCTAAGTGGTATGGCTTTTTTCTGTTGATTCTTGATGTCCTTAGAGCGTTGGCTGTGCTCAAGCCTTACCCTCATCGCGGGCTTGAATCCCGCCGGGGCCGTCGAGTTTTCACAAGTGAGTCAAATGAATTATTCAAATCTCCCAAAACACCAATAAATCCAAGTGTATTTCATAGAAAACATGCACGAAAGCGTTATTTTTTCGTACTCATTTGGCGGCAAATCACCTCGTTTTCACATTTAGTACCCAAGGAAAGGGAATAGTTAGGTTTTTGAAAAGTTCCTAGTTATGGGGTTTGAAGGCTGTTCAGTGCTCATTCGAATAAAGTCGTATCCGCCCACCTATTAATATTTTTAGGAAGTATTACCCATAGTTCACATACAATACAAAGTTTTATGAGCTCTGCATGGTATCTTCTGACGGTATAGACGAGTATATGATTTCCTCTAAACGGAAAGAATAAGGCATCTAGATCTAAAACCCTGGATGCTATGGCGAAGCGGACTCAAAAGTATCCGAGAATTAAAAGAACCCTTTTAAACCCAAATATACCTTTACCTTTAATTTGAAATTTAAAGACAAAATAATTTGCTGCCAAATAAACGCAATAAAGAGTATTTTCATGCGAATTTTCCACAACGTATATCTGAATTTATTGGCATTTTTGGCGCATTTGAGTAATTACATACAGTAGAATAGATATTTTAGATTATGGGGAGGCCGAAAGTCAATATAAAAATCATACCGCCTAGGTAGTCATTTTATACTCAGTGCAGTTCTTGCTGGCAGCCGAAACAAATGCAAATCAAGGCTAAAATCCTGGCGCGTCGGAAATATCATGGCTGCATGGCAATCGATGTTATAACCCCACAGAAGTAATCCTTCCTAATCGAAAACGCATTCTAGCGTTTCGGCCAACATTTCATGTGATCGATCACTGACTGTAGCCCCTACTCACTTTTTAACGATAATTGAACTCCGAACGCTTGTCGTAGCGCCTGTGTGATCTCTTGTACATGGTCGAGTGGCTTTAAGGACTGTGCGCGCGCCTGTACGTACAGGGATTGTGTGCGTATGCTATGCCACGCTTCAGCAAAACATCGCTCTCGGAGTCTATTGTGTGCCGGTAGTTCGCCAGCACCTGATTCTCTGCCGGTGGATGCGTTTGCGCCCTCGCTGGGTATACAGGCAGTGTGCATGGTTGTTCAGCGATTTGTGTTGTTGGTTAAAATCCCGATCAGGTGTCTTTTTATGTACCCGGAGGTGTGGTGGTACGCCTAGGTGCGGGCCCAGCCGCGTCAGCCACCTGCGTCCTCTCCCACGTTCGGCCTTCTTAACCATGTCTTGACACCGGGCTCAGGCGGCGGGGAAGGAGGAGAGAGTGCAGTGCGTGTTGTGCAAGTCTACTACCACTATAAACTAATTCCTGCACAAGTCAGCGTGTCTTCTCACCTTGCTGTCGGCAATGATAGTCGACCTGTCACTGGTGACCTCCTGTTCGCAGGCGTCCTTCCGTTTGTTTGTCTTCTGCCTTGTAGGACCCGTCAGGAGGAAGCTCGGTGGAACAGCTTACCCCTGAGGAGGCGAAACACAGGCGGGATTTCGAGGCCAAACGCAAGGCACACTACAACGAGTACCAAACTGTGCAGCAAATTAGGCATAAGCATCCCAGCGAGAGTGAGGATGACACCGACGAGGAGATGGATCCCGTGGCTCTACGCAACGCCCAGCTGAACGCCCAACTGGGGAAGTTACCACCGCCGCCTTCACCAGGGGAGAAAGGCCAATCAAAGTAGGCCTGGCTGCGGTGTGGCCCACGAGAAAAAAGCTGTCTTCCACTCTCTGCAGTCCCGACACCCGCCTCCACTGGAGGCTCCCTGTCGCCACCCCGCTGTGCTTTATCGCCCCTCGCATCGCGGATGCTATTACTGACGCCTTCAACCACACTGGCACTACCATCGGCACTCCCCTAAAGTCTGCGCTTTCTCCCGTGTATAGTTGTCTTTTTTTCGCGCACAGAGGCT